TCTGCCTTTGAAATTATCTCCTAATGTAATTTGTAACCTATTATTGTTTAAATATGTGTGTCTCTAATTAATGTAACTGGCTATTGCCGTTTTAATTGCTATAAATAAAAAATATAAAAAAATCTTTAGTTTTATCCTCAGGCGTTCTATCTATCCTATGATCCAATGCTCATACAAATTGTACCTAGGTAGTACAGAACATCCTTATAAACAACGTTTATATAGGCACGTGCCGACCCGTTGTGTCCCTCCATTTTAAATCTGTATTATCGGAAATATTGTATAATAAAATATAATGTTTTTTTGGTTATCCTTAAGTAGTAGACGAACGTTTTGTTAACTTTTTTAATGTCTACAATATTGTAGTACCTTACAGTAGAACACTTATTGTAGAACATTATTTTATCTTCAGCCAGCGTTATCAATGTTAGCGCATAGAAATGTGTCAATACGACATAACATTAGTAATTTATCAGTGATTCTCTAATAATAATATACATGTATTAAAAAAAAAAACCTTCCTTTTAAATCATCTTATCAATTAAAAGACTAATATCGTCGTAGCATAATCCATTGCGTAGTTTACGATTTGAGTATACGTCGGGACGGACAGACAGCGACTAAGACTTCCATATATGCTGTTACTAGTTATTCTCAAAGAAAGTCGCAAATATTATACAGTTGAAAGGTTTTTTCACTAAATAAGAAAGTGCTTTAGATAGATATACAGGCTTATATATATGTATGCTTTTTATTCATTAATTCGTATACTTCAAAAGCGTTTAATAAGCTCGCAAAGCTTTTAAGATCCAATTTCGCGTGACAGAAAGAAATTCGACGATACGTCAAAAGCACTCATGCGAAGACTACGCGTGCCTCCGTTCACCTCTATAAACACGCTGTAATTCAGTTATCAATAAAGGATCAATATAACCCCGCCCTGATCTTGTTAATCTAAGGGAAGGCTGTTTCAGCGACAATCAAGATTTCATTGAACATCTGATGTCGGATAAGCTTATATCTATTGGGAGTAGTTACATACAGCTCGTGCAAAAGGTAATTAATCTTCAAACGACAGACATATTCTAATGTCTGTTTTACTGTAAGACTGTGCTCTGCATGAGTGACACAATTTAAAATTTCTCTGGCTTCAAACCCATATGTCGCGCTTAACACATTCCGTAAAAAGTTTAAAACGGACTAAGTATTGGTAAGTATCTTTCTGCACGCATCCTCTTTCAAATTTATTGTTTTTGATACAAAAATAATCAAACAAAAATTGATGTCAAACAAAACACCTTTAACCGTTTAAAACGCCAAATATCGTATCAGCTTTTTCATATTAATTTTCTTTAGGTACGGTCCGATGTTGCGGATGCTTTACAGCTATAGTCGTGGGGGCGACAGTAAAGAAACTAATATATTCCCTGTTTTAAACCTTTTAAAATGTTATATTTAAATTTGTATATATACCATTAGGTATATTATTTTCTGTTTGTGAATAATATTATACGTTTAAAATTTATTTTCTATCAATATTTCACATTCATTGTGTATAAAGTTAGTCAGCGAAGTGTATATAAAAATGTCATACTATGAACGACCCCGCCTTTGTATTTTATAGGTCTAGTAAATGCCAACCCTAGGTTACAATAAGTTATGTAAATTACCCACCTAACCACTTACGTAGAGGGATCATAATGGATCTATGGTTAAACCTTATTCTAAGGCTTACGGAACGGCGAGACCTTCACCTTTATTCAAAAGTATTTTTATTTGTATTTCCACTAATCTTAGGAACTACTGGTTCGAAAACATATTTTTGTGTTGGTTAGAGTATTTATCGAAGAAGGCTTAGGCTAAGACGATGAAGTCGCGGCCATAGCTTGTATTAAAATAAAGCAAATTATGACGTGACGTATTATAACACTACTTCCGTGGCTGCTGTTAGCCTCAAATCGAGACGAGATGGCTTTAACCTTATAAATAAAAATCGATGGAATGCACACACCAATGCCCCACGCCCCACACAGGGAATAAATTGACCAGAACTACGCGTGACCCAGCAGCCGAGTTTTAAATTAAAACGTGTGACGTTTCAGAACTTTCCAATTAATTTTCAATTTAATGCGCTCGTTGCAAAGTTAAAGGTCGTGATTCGTGAAACTGTAGTCACAAAGCGAGGTAGTTGCGCCGTTACGTGCAGTTTGAGCTGTAATTTAGACCGACAAAGGCTGTCTTTCATTAAATTCGTGATACCAAATTAATGAGTAACTAACTACATGATGGCATAGAACATTCTATACATGCCACATGCAACAAACTTAAGACATTCACTACCATTTATTAAGCAATCAATACCTACTTATATATAAAGCTGAAGAGATTGTTTGTCTGTTTGAACGCACTAACCTCAGGAACAACTGGTTCAAATTATCTAAAAAATGTCGTCGACTCTATCACTCTTATTACAGAATCTACCTTAGTACATGGTTTAAGAGTTAAACCAAGATTATACAGTCCTGGTTAAAGTTTTTTTTGTAATAAGGCCTTAAGACATTAGGTCTATCTTTTAAGATTAACTTAGAAGTGCCAGAACGGTGGGTCGAGAGCGACAGGATGCGACCGATGTCGTGGAGCTTAAATTTATAAAGATGAACTCCCAAAATAACTATTCTACGCGGACGAAGTCGCTGACACAGCTTGTAAATAATACGGTTGGGGTGTCTCACCTTCTATATCTCTACCGTAAAAAATCTAAACACGATACGCTATACAACAATTTTGGTTTTGGATATTCGGAAATTTACAGACGAAACGCGATTAAACTTGTCGGCCTTTTCATCTGTGTACGGTGGCTCGTGATCCGGACGGAATCACCACCACCATTTCGTACCACCCATCCATCCAAATTTCCAGACGGAGTCCAACATGTTTCAGAAAAATTATAAATCGATTAGAAAACGTGTTGGTTCCGGTTGTGCGCGAACCCGGGACTCCTTAATAATTAGCCGTACACTAACCGTTGCCACCGTAGCCATCGTTGCTGCCGTTGCCACCGTTGCTACCGTTGCTACCGTTCCTAGTTTAGATGTTTATCTACCTGTCTCGGTATCAATGATTTCCGCCAGCTTTCGTTGAAACGAATCTTAATACTAATAATGAGAAAACTTTGCCTTCGGGGATATATTTAAAATAGAAGCCTTAATGTATTATTTACCTTTGATGTTTATTGAGGTTTTGAGGATGTTTACGATTCTATATTGCTTCAGATAATTGCTTTTGTTCACGCTGAATATTTAATTTCTACTGGTTAATGACTAGATCAGTAGATTAACTCGCAACTAACATTAGTCACTTGTGATTTTTTTTTAATTAAACAAAAATTAATTTAATATTGTTACTTTTTGAGAGTCGTATCTATATTCAAATGAAACACTCTTATATAAAGCACTTTAACGGTCTCAAACACGATATATACTAGTAAAACTTTTTTAATTATTATCTTGACTACGGCGCGACGTTTCTGATGCGTTACGGCAACCGTGGTCACGGAGAGAACGTGAACGGGTTTAAGTGTTTTATTTATTTAAAAAAAAATACAAATAATCTTGTTTAAAACCGTCAGAAGTGCTTTATTAAATTATAATGAAGACGTATGCAAGCGAAACTACTTTTGAATACAGCTTAATTTTGATTAGACAAATGTAAGAATTATAACGTCTAGGCGACAATAAGCAATATTCTCTTTTTGACAACCGTCAGCTTCCACTGACGAGGGTCACTGCAAGATGAAAGGGCCACTTGTCACATAACACGATGTCCTTTGTCCGTTGTCTTTTACAAATGATAATCAAGCGAATCGCACTTAAACATTTTAATTTATAGTTAACTATTCTATTTTGTCAGAGAATATTTTAACTTGTGATACTTTGTACATCTCCTAATCATTAACTTATAATAAGAGTGGTTTAGTGAGCTAAGTAGAGTATTCTTTAAATAAAACACTTTAACGGTTTTAAACGCGATATATTAGTTAAACTTATTTGAAATTGATTTTTAACTTCGGCTCGACGTTTCGGATGCTTTGCAGCAGCCGTGGTCACGGGAAGCTTAAAAATCATTTTCAAATAAGTTTAACTAATATATCGCGTTTTAAACCGTTAAAGTGTTTTTTTTAATGTTTACTACTCGCGTAAACTATAGACAGAGTATTTTTTTGACCTAGTAAAAATAAAATATAGTTCTGATTGATTTTTCTAATTGAAGGTAGGGAAGATATATTGTTTATAAATAAAAATAATGTAGCTTATGCTCACGACTCGTGTTTAATGCAATGCCATACCTAAGCCACAGAGGCTGATCAACTACTAGTAACAAAATAAGAATTAAATTGAATATCTTTTGATAGTTGAATTGTTTGATGTAAACGTACGTTTAATATAGGTTACTACGCCTATAATGTCCAATTAACATCCTTTTAAATGAAAAATCTATTTCTGGCACTCGGTGATACCGAAAATAACCCACTCTGTATTAAAGCCCTGCTAATTTGAATACGATTAAAGATAAAGGTCAATACAATTACGCGTAATTGCCATCTGCTAAAGGTGAACGTAGCCAATATGTATTTATCGAATGTAAAAAACTCACTCACTCGCCTTAGTGGTCTGTGCTAGAAATCGACATTTTTGAAAACTTTAATATTTTTCACATATTCGCTGAGGACCGGAACCGGAACGGCAGGTTCGAAACCTGCCCGAGTCGTAATTTCTTTCATTTGCGACTCGGACAAATTTGTGTGTTAAATAATTCATTCAAATTCCTTGGCCCAAAAGTGGAGGACTTAAAGATTTTTGCATCAAATTAAATGCCCTCAGATATTTAGTCATAAAACGAACGATCGAATAAAATGATTATAAATGAAAAGTGTAGTTCTAAATCAAAATAAATACGCATAAAGTGGTAGAGTGGAAAAAAGGTGACTATAAGAAAGAAGAATGTGGAATCCAAACGCAATGGGCAACAGGCAGATGGAGAAGAGGATAGTGGTGGGGCGTGTGAGACCAACTTGGGCCCGAAATTTACCCGAAGCAAGAGATGATGATGAGAAATCAGATGACGTAGCAATGATGCCGCATAGCGATCCCCCTTCTCCATCAGAGCAGTGGGACAGACAAGGAAAAGTGGATGATAAATATGATGTCTTTGGGAAGGTAAGACGTTTACATTGTTAATAAGTGACCTTAAAAATGTAGAATCAAGATCTGAACGGGGCTAAACCCAAAAAATAATATCATTTTATAAGTTCGTAAAAATTTAAATTCTGTTATAAAAGATTACAACCTATTTAATTCAGACTGTATATTGTGTATTCTCAGGTTATGTTGCTTGGTGACAGCGGCGTGGGAAAGACGTGTATGCTCGTCCGCTTCCGGGACGGCACATTTCTCGGCGGCAACTACATTTCCACCGTCGGCATTGACTTCCGGGTATAGATAGTGCGACAATATCTTTTGCTTAACATTAATACCCAAATTCACTTACATATTAGGTTCATTGATTAGATTTGATAGACCGTTTCAATGCCATATAAATATTCCAAATTATTGATTCGTATAGCGGAAGCTAAGCGTGTGTGAATAATATAAAAGTTAATAATAACTTTATAAGGCGTAAAAAACCGAGTATAACTGTCAAAGAAACTCAACATAACACTATTTTTTGGCTAAATTTGGCTTTACAATTGTCTGGAAGGCGCTACGACCATTACAACGGGTTCTTTGCTAGTTGAATGCAATGGCCGCGATAAAGACACCTTCTTTAAGAAGGCATGCTTTATAGAAATTAGTAAATAATGTCAAAATCAAGGCTAATTTTACAATAATATCGCATTGTATTTTAGCTTTGACATACCGAACGTTAATCCCCAATGAATGTCATTATTTGTCGGTAAAATTATAATGGCCGTAGATAATTAGCGTTTCTATTATTTGTCAAAAAATGACATTAGCAGGGGTTCCAAGTTCAAATGGACCAACGACGACGCCACGCGGCCAGAATGCTGGTCTGCTATTGGTGTTAAAGTTTGGCGCGCTTTTTCCGTTCCCGCCCCTACAACTTGACAGCTGTGATTGAATCGGCTCTGGCTGAGTGATTTATTGCAGCCGGCCTTTTTGCTTAACTTTGTATTTGATTTATGGAGCTTATTTAGTGGCGGACAGTAATTAGGAGGGATGCGTGGATCTAGAGGAATCTATTCACTAAATTGTTTCGTTAACAACTCCGTACTCTCTCCCTCCCTTCATATGAAATTAAAAGACAAAATATACTAAGTATTTAATAATGGAATAAGAAATAAATACAAAATTCTAACCAAAGATATTCTAAATACAACGTGATAGCATACTTTCTACCTTTAAGTATAAGAAAGAATCCTTGATCCTCTATTAATGAACTGGGCTAGATCGTGTTATACTACTAATGCCATCTGTTTCAGAATAAGGTAGTCACAGTAGACGGGATTAAAGTGAAGCTTCAGATTTGGGACACCGCTGGGCAAGAACGGTTCCGTAGCGTTACACATGCATATTACAGGGATGCACATGGTACGTGAAAAGATTATTTTTATTTAATTATTCTTATATTGCGTTTATCTATGAGAATATTTTTAGCATTCAGAATATTGATAACAGCGCCATCTATAGAATTTTATTGAAAAGTGTTCATTGCAATGAATTAGTGTGACACTAAGAATAAATATAAAATAAGATTTAATAGTTATAAATATTGTGTAAAATCTTTAAGGAATGGTAGGAGCTATAATATGTACCTATATATAGACCAACCATAGTTACAAATCTGTGGTAATACTTTTAGGGATGTTTCAAAACGTAAATTAAAAGTTTCAGAACATTAATTACATTTTGGAATTGTATTATGTTTCGAGTCCCATATACATTTTAATCATTTTAGCATTGCCTGTAATTTATGCGAGTAGAACATTGAAAAAAAATCAAAAAACACTTTTACGGCTTAAAAGCAAATAATATTAGTTTACCTATTTTTAATTTATTTTAACTACGAGCTGACGTTTCATGTAAAATAAATTCGATATTTCACGTTTTGAATCGTCGAAAATGTTTTATTAAAATACATTTCATTTTGTATACAGCCCTACTTCTGCTGTACGACGTTACAAATAAAACTAGTTTCGACAACATCAGAGCGTGGCTTGGGGAGATACGGGAGTACGCCCAGGATGACGTAGTAATCATGCTACTGGGTAAGCAAAGTATAATTTAGGCTTACCTTATGAACTATATCTTTAAATACTGTCTGTAGTTTACTCGAGGAGTACACATTTCAAGATTAAACGCGATATATATTAGTTAAACTTATTTGAAAATTATTTTTACTACGGCCCGACTTTTCGGATGTCTCCCCCTGCAAAGCATCTGCCGTAATTAAAATTATTTTCAAATAAGTTTAACAAATATATATCACGTTTTAAACCGTTTTAGTTAAACTACATATATCTCTGTTTAGAAAAAAACCAACCGACAAAATATAAAAATCAACGAACTACAGTATTTCATTCTAATACAACACACATTTACAAACATAACATAAATCCTACACCATTAGATCATCAACAACGCGAAAGCAAGTAGCTAAAAAGTGGTACAGTAAGCGTTCCAGCTACAGTAATGTGGAGCGACGCAATTCCCTTCCAGGAAACAAGTCGGACAGCGGCTTGGAGCGCGCGGTGAGGCGGGAGGAAGGGCAGCGTTTAGCTAGAGAGTACCAAGTCGCGTTCATGGAGACATCGGCGAAAACCGGGCTGAATGTGGAGGCGGCCTTTGCCCACGTCGCACGCGCTCTCGTCGCCAAAGCGAACCCCGCGGACCCATCTAGGCTTGCGGTGCGCGCGCAGCCGTCACAAGAGCAACGGTCTTCCTGCCCGCCATGTACATCGTAAGCGCGCCAATTTCAAATATCGAACGCCGTGTGGACCAATGAACGGGCATATTTCTCGACTCCGATGATTGTACATAATGTAATGTTAATAATTTTTAAGTATAGGTACATCACAATATATCATTGGCGCTAAAAAATTTAGACGCTTTTCTTTGTTGAAAATCCAGAGATCATATAATTTCAGAATATATTTTGGATCAGCTTGAAGCTTCTAAAAGGGTTCGCAGACATTATAACGCTGTTTTTCTAAGAAAATAGTACTAAAGTAATTGTTGATAGAAATAAACACGTAATATTTTTTTTATTTTATTTATGACTAGCGCGACTTCGTCCGCCTGACTTGGGGTAGAATTTTTAATTATTTAGGCTGTTTATTCATTTATATAAGGGCGCATTTAAGGCAGCCACTATAAATCTATGTTGTAAATGCTACTTTGCCGCAACAACTCCCACTCCCACGCCTATTCCCAAAAAGCCAAAGTCATTGTTTTAGCTTCAAAACCCACTAATTTCCATACAAACTTTCATACCCTTTTTTCAACCCATATAAACACTTTTTTTGGCAATATAAGTCTATGTCCTTTCTCAGGCTCTAAAATAGATGTGTACGACACTTCATTTAAATCAGTTTAGTAGTTTCGGAGTTAAAGCAGGACAGACAGAGTTACTTTTGCATTTATAATATTACTATAGATTACCATTATTTTACCTAGCACCTGATATAATATTATGTTACATATTTTATATGTTTCGTTTCTTGGTATAAAGATAGTAAAACTTATTTTATAAACTTGATAATAAAAACATAGGTGTATAAGTGCGCTACGTGATGACCTAAGTAATGTTGAAACCTAACAAAATCTTTGTAAATTAGGATACTTATTTAGTAGGTACCTATTATATAATCATGTGATGATTTAAAAGGGAATAACTCATATCAGGCCACACACAAACAATAGACTTCAGATAAAATACCTCTTCCAGGAATTTTTCAGTAAAATTTTTCGATATTGTTTGAAGAATAACACCTAGTAAGTAATATTTTCATCCAAATGTGCAAATATTATTGCGCGTATTGTCTATAGGCTATGAATATTTACCTACCTTAATATATCACGTATAAAATAGGTACAATATATACAATTAATTCATCACTCAAATTATCTTATACATATTATGTGGGCTCCCCTAAAAATTTAGCTTAAATAAATACACTAGAATTGGATTAACTACCTATTTTTTTAGTTAGTATATTAGTAACAGTTATGATGTTTCTAGATAAGAATTAATCAATTTTACTTATCTAATGCCTACTGTTTCTTAATTTTACAGAGAAAATTACCAAAAAGTATAGTTACAAAGTACTATATTACAAACAATATTAAACTGGCCTTATATATAAAATTAAAAATATATATCACTACTTCCTTAATTTTATTATGACTTATATCGACAGACTAAAGAACAGCAAAATATAAAAATATTTCCAATTGTACATAAATGTAAACGAATGAAATTTGATTAGTGTCTTTTTTAACTTACATTAAAAACTCAATTGAAATAGAATGTCCTTCAAAATAACATTTTATATTGTTTATAACCGTCGTAGCGTTATGTAGAAAATATAAATGTACGCTTTTAAATATTTAAATGTTGTCTTGAATGTTTAATGTGTGTTGATTGCTTGCACAAATAATTAAAAACAGAGTTTAATAAAACATTTTGGCCAAAATTTGTGTTTTATTCGACGAATCATACATTAGTTAAGTTTACTATTTAAAAAGAAATATTTCAATACAATGAACATGGTATAAACTATAAAATAAACTTCATATAATATTCAAAAATCCCGCCATGGTCAAACAACTGTCAAGACAAATTCATTTTGAAACTCGCGCCACTATTCCGATGTTGTCACTACTGAGAAATGAAATTGGCGTCAGAGAACATAAACATTGTGCTGTCTGCATTTTTTAAAGTGCGTGAAGTAAGAAAAAAATATTGTCTGATGTATCGACATTACTAAATCAAAATACTTAAGACTTTTGAGTTACTCGATTTATTTAATAATACTTACCTTGAATTATTGTATTAATATTTAAATAGTTTACATCGTATTATTTATGCTACGTATTTGCTATTTTAAATGTTATTATTATATGTAATATAATATTAAATTATTATTTAATCGAAATCTATTACACTATATATTTTCATACTTTTACTTACCTACTGAATGAAAGTTACATCAGATTAAGGTGCATAACTTCTGTCAACTATTGCTTTTAGTCATTATGTTGGCAGCCTTGTCAACTTACTACGCGCACATGCGCAGAACGACAGGTGGTCGGCGGGTCGACCCTGCTATAGAAACCGAACATCGACTTCTCATGCTCATCATCAGCCGCTGTCGTGCTCAAGTCAGAGCGATATGCAGTGCTTTGTGTTGAAGTGGTCGTGGTGACATGGCGTCTTTATTTTAAATATTGTGACTGGTGTTAATGGTGAAAAATATTGTTTATTTACAATGAATGTGAATTATGATCGTGTTTGTAGACTGTGCTTGTCATCTCGAGGCGAATTACTGCCTATATTTCCTACCACCAGTTCGGATGACTCGGAACCTCCTGTCCTTGCATCGAAAATCAAAGATTGCGTGTCCGTTCAGGTAAGAAAAGTGTACAATAAGTTCTAGAAAGAAGTTTTAAGTGAAAGTCGACCCTTGGTGTACGTGAGAACTTGTCATCCGGCTCTGTTCGCGGTAATGACAGGCAGTTTGTCTAGATGGAGATGTCGTAAGATCGTCCACCATTTTGTAATGTACCACGGCCGTCTGTTGACTCGTGGCCGCGTTGCGTCGCATTCCGTGCAGCCGGCAAGACGTGGAACGCATGATGAGGGTCGGCTTTGGCATTATTCCCGGGGGCCTGGTCGGGAGGGGGTCTGCGTTAGATAAGCACGCCGTTGGAAGCGCTCGTATTGATTTATCGGACGAGCAGGCCTGTGCAGCTAGTCTCTCGAGTAACAGCGTCGTTGTCGGCGTCAGTGCGCTAGGTATAGATGTGTGTGTGACTATCGAGCGGTAACCCTTGAGGGGCTCGCTGGACGCCGTCTCGTACCTACTTGTACGGTTGAAAAGCAGGCGCTCGTGTTATATCTACGCCTACTTATTAAGTTTCTCCTCGCGCCATATCTATCTATATATGAGGCGCGGTTTCGCTCGTCACACTCTGATGGAATGCGCGCAACTTTATGCCTTCGTAACTCGTAACGTGATTGCGTATGATTATTTTTCCAGATAAACGAAAATGACGAACTGCCAACTAATGTCTGCAGGAAATGCATGGATAATGTCAATAACTGGCATACATTCAAAACAGTCTGTGAAAGGACACAAAACAAATTACAATCTCTCATTCATAAAGAGAGCAGCCATCTAGAAGAGGTGAGGTGGTCTTGAATTTAGTTTAGTTCTATATCTGCAATTGACTTGTTCACAATGTGCAATATGGTTTTTCAGATTCATATAAAAACTGAACCAAATGAAGCATTGTCTGATGGAGGTTATGATGATGGAGTGGTTATTGATGTGTCATACCCCGAAACTGAGGTGAGGTGGATTTTCCCATAAATTTAAGTTTATTTCATATTTTTAAATTATCCTGTTAAACAGTGGATGATTAATAAACTAAGTATATTATAGTTATTTATTGATGTCAAGGACATTCCCACATTGTTGGTGGAGTGAAACAATACTAAGATGTAAGAGCCTAGTCATTTGTTTTACTTAAACCTGTGTATGTTTAATGTTTTACATTGGTTGAGTTATTTAAAATATTAAGTTTAGACTCTATATAACTATTTCATTTTCCAGATCGCTGAGACTTCCAGTAAAATTCAACCAGAAGGACCACCCATTCTCGCTTCTTTGGGTCTTACACCAAGAAGTGATAAGGTAAATGATAAGAAAAATTTATTATAGGTATTTATTTTTATCTCATAATGTTATAGTTGATAAAGAGTTTTCATTGTGACACTTCTACTATGACTTCTTATATGCTATAGGTGTGACGTAGGAATAGAGAATAGTTCAATTGAGTTATTTTATTCACAGAAAAATATAGATCCTCGAATGGACTGGCACCGAGTCCATGCGATACTGGATATAATAAAAGAAGATGAAATTATTAATTCTCTACAGTCCACTGAAGAATGTGAGGTCTCTCACATGTCAGACCATGACTCAGACGTAGAAACTGAATTAGATCAAGAGGTACCTATAGATTGTCGAGATTGTAAAGGTGGATACATATGCAGAAACAAAGTTGTTTTATTGAAAAATCCTAAACCAAATTTAATGAAGAATTTGGAGAAAATTAAGGAAGTAAAGTTGCAAAACCAATTAAATAATAAGAACAAGAACTATCGTCAACCAAAAAATGCATGGCAGATGCTAATCAGTGATGATCTGTTAGAACTTATAGTCACATCCACAAATGAAAATATCAAGAGATCCTCTAAAAATCATACCACAGATATAACTGAATTAAAAACTTTGATTGGTATTCTATACTATCATGGAATAATGAGGCCAACATATCAAAAATGCAGTGACCTCTGGGACAATGACTATGGACCTATTTGCATTCAGAGAACAATGAAGTATCAGCGATTTAAGTTCCTATTAGAGAACATGCGTTTTGTAACCGAAGATGATGCTGCTGCAATGCAAATAGATGCTATGAAGCGTATACGAAAAGTTTTTGAAATATTTGCTATGAACTGTCGGACGTCTCTAGAAATAGGAAAGACAGCGGTTATTGATGAGATTATACTGCCCGTACATGGACCCTGTCCATTTCGGTATTCTATGAAAAAGAAAAATATCAAACAGGGCATGAAATTAGTGTTGGTAGTCGACCCAAGCAATTTCTACGTTAGTAATTTGGATGTCATAACTGATAGTTACTTTGGCAGCGAGGACATTGTTATAAAATTAGTACAACACTTGGGAGGAACAGGGCGAATCATTATTATGGATAGCTGGTTTACATCTATAGACTTAATTGATACTCTCAAAAAGGAATACAATTTATTCAGTATTGCCGCTTTGCACCCGAAGGATCCTACAATACCACCCATTTTTCTATCACAATACAGAAAGTGTAAGCCGCTTATAAATGGCTTTTTTGACACTGATATGGTGCTGTCGTCTTGTGTCAGTTCTAATTCTAAAGTAATTAATATTTTAAGTAACGAACCAACTCACTACAAAAGGTTGCATATAGCCAATTCAGTTGCAACCGAATATAAGAAGTACAAGTCAGCCGTAGAGGTCATTGATGTTTTGATGCATTATTACACAACAATGCAAAATACAAATGACTGGACTCTGTCTTTGTTTTTCATGTTATTGAATATTGCATCTGTTAATTCACAAGTTATATGGACTATGAATAAAACCAATACTGCAATTCAGCGCAGGGCATTTATTCGCAAGTTGGCTTTGAGTTTGATGGAAAGTCAGGAGCCTAGAGAGGACTTAGCGGAATTGCTCATAAAACGACCCAGATTAAATGTTTTGAATTCGAATCAACAAACTTATAGGAACAGACGACGTTGCCAGATTTGTAAGCAGACTGCAAAAAAAGATAGAAAAACTAAACATGTTTGCATTAAATGCGGTACTTATGTGTGTAAAGAGCATACTGTTTGTCTCTGTGTGGAATGTCCTATTCTGATTTAGTCATGAACATAGAATATAAAGGTACATTTGTTAGATCTAGTTATTTATTTATTAAAAAACGTTTTTTTTTCCTATTTTATCCACCAAGAAATTGCTTGGTTTCAAGAATTTTACATTTTTTTTTCAGTAAATGACAAAAAAGTTCTTCTTAGGTTTCAAAGAATTTATTTCAGCATAAGTTTAATTTACTAATTTTAAGTTTACTAATACTTATTGAATTATCTATGTTAGGAGTAACATTATTATTAGTATATGCAATTTTATTTAACTCTTGCGTGTTATGCATAAGTTAGTTTTTCAGTAAAGATGTATTTGTAAGTGATTATAATTATTAATATAAGTAAATAGTGTTACAATTTTAAATTCCCAATTCATTGTAGAAGTGTTAGTAACTTGTGAACTTTTTCAAATAAGTTTGATGACTATAATTTTCTTATTTCATTTCATTTAATTTATATTATATTATTTCTATGAATTCGCTGTGTATCAAGATATTATGTTGCCAATTCCTCTTTTTTCAGGGTGTTGAGAGTGAAAAGGATGAAGACGAAATGGAAGATGAAGAGATTACATCAGAACCAGCTTATCCTAGTGTGCCAGAAGTATCAATTACAGTAATGCGTCCAACAGGTGAAACTCTGCGGGCCCGTCAGGGCATTCAACAACTCGCTTCCAAAGACTGCCTCGTATGTGGCCGATCATACAGATACTCGCATAATGCTCGGCGTCACGAACTAATGGCACACAATTTCGACAGATACACAAATAAAATAACAAATAAGAAAAATAATAATCGTATGCAACCGAAACTACGCCCTAATCCGTTTAATCCGAAAGCTCGCTTAATGCCAAATCCAATTAGCCATAAAATGCAACTACTTCCAAAGCAGCCGACGCCGATTAAAATAGTTCCACAGAAAATACCACCGAAACCGATTCCTATCAGAAATCTTAAAGCTAACCAAAACAATTTACCATATCCGTTACGTATTAAAGCATTGAAGGATTTGCAAATCAAAAAGAAAGAACCGCAAATATTAAAAACTCTTCTCACCACAAAGCCGGAAGTACTAGTGTCTGAGCCAGAGATTATAAACTCGGGACCAGAAAGTCCCGAAACATTGATATCTGAACCGGAAATAGCTTCCTTTCAAGTTGAAACAATTTTATCAGAACCTGACGGTTTTATAAATCAAGATGACACGGAAAAAGAAGATCAGACTCAAAATAATAGCCAAAATTATGATACAGTGGAAATGGATTCTGAAAATGAAATTGAAATCGCGCGTGAGCGTGAAAACGAAGAGGACACTGAAATGCAAAATGAAAATGAGGTAGAAGAAAATGTTAATGAAGAAGATGACATGGAAGATGCAGAAACAAATGAAATTAAAGAAGATCAAGAGTTAGATATGCAGAGAGATGACAGTCAAGATAATGCTGAAGAGCAAGATGCAGACCAAGATCAACAGGATTTGAAGGAAGAAAGCAAGACTGACGAAGAACACAATGAAAGTCAGGAAAATGAAGAAGACGACCAAGATAGTGAACTGCCTCCGATCGCACCCGTTGTCGAAATTAATGAAGACATGCAAGGCAATTCTTATGGTGAAATAAATGAAGAGGAAGAACTGGAACTTGATTACACAGCAGACCCAAACGACATAGTGGACGGCGATGACAAAGAGCTCGACCCCGACAAACAATACGTCACCAAAACTCAGAGAGATTTCATCCAGAAATATCGCGATATAATTGAACAAATCAATACTAAAACATGTCTATGTTGTAACAGAGAACATCCGCGAAGAAAAGCAGTCATTCAACATCTGCAGAAGAACGGCCACAAAGTCCCCAAGCACACCTGTTACAATTGTGTGGTTACCTTCAGTCATATCGGTGCTCTGCTGAGTCATATGAGGTCAAACACGTGCACTGATCTCTGGAAAATTATCTACAACGAAAGCGGTATCAGCGATGATCAAGTTCTCGAAGACGAACCGAAAGACCCGAAGGTTCAATACAAAGACATATTCAATGCTCGATCCTACGCTTGTAAGCTGTGTCCTGCGAAGTTCCAATTGAAGCAGTTTATAATGAAGCACGTTTTAGATGTCCACGAAGATGGGCAATCCCAAGTTCACCTGGCTTGCGTGCACTGCGGGTCACGGTTTAAAGACAAAACCATTTGGAAGAAACACATTCGCAACGGCGAGTGCACAGTTTATATCGCATGCGATCTGTGCCCCGAAAAGTTTGGAAACATGCAGGATTTCAATGAGCATGCGTTGGCCATTCACGCCGGTAACTTCGACCCAGACAGCCAGAACAAGTGTGTCGACGGTCGACCTACCGATTGCCCCATTTGCGGAAAGAAAAACAGCGGCTATCCCAATCTAGTGAAGCACCTTAAAATTATCCACAACGAAGAAAAGCCTCACTATTGCCAGCATTGCGACTCTAAATATGAGCAGGCTGCCGATCTTAACAAACACATTTACATGGAGCATTCGGATAAAGCACTCGGGACGCAATCCGATCTGGACATGTCGCTCGTTAAAGAAGAATCCGAAGAGTACCACTATTCCTGTACTGAATGCAACGCCATATTCGAGACTGTCGACGCGTGGACCGATCACCAAGTGGCCGAACATAACCAGATCGCACATCATTGCGATCAGTGTGAAAAGAAATTCTTGCGACCCTCAGAACTAGCGGAGCATAAGAACACGCATTTGCGAGTCAAGTTCTATCCTTGCAGTGTGTGCAATAATTCCTACAGCACACCACATAAATTGTCTGAACACGTACAGCAGGCTCACCCCGGGTCGGCTGCTCTAAACGCAGGTGACACTGAGTTTTTCTGCGACATATGCGTGAGAGGGTTCAAAAGCCGTCAGGCATTCTCAAACCATATGCGCATTCACGCTAAAGTCCCGACTACAAATAGAAAACCTGGTGATTCCAAAGGCTTTTCTCCCCAAATTATTGGAAAACCGATTCGCCACTTTTCCACCCTCCAACAGGGCTTCAGCCCGTTCAAACCCAATTGCAACGTTCCTAACGCGCCATATTCCTGCGATATCTGCGGGAAAGGATTCATGCACAAGAAAAATATTTGGAAGCATAAGAAGGTCCTTCACGCGGACCTCCTGAACGATAGACACGACAGTGAAGAGAACACGATGCACGCTTCTACAGAGGAAGACGAATACAACGCCGACGAGAACGGATCACTTCTCACTACACCGCAATTTAACAGTTTCAATTTCACAAGTATGTCATCGACGCCTCAAGAACCGACGCAAAGTTATTCGTGTGAACTCTGTTACAAGCGATTCCCACTAAAGACTAGTTTATGGAAGCATAAACGAGCTAAGCACGGAATCATTAACGCGTCCGCCTCCGACACGTCTGTGGAGGCCGGCAGCGGTCGGTCTAATTGTACAATATGTAAAATATCTTTCGCCGACAAGAAGTCGTATTATAGACATAGGAAAAACGCCCACAAAGCGGCGGTTCAAATGTGCAAAATATGCGGCAAGCCTTTGAATTCCACTTTGGAACTCTACGAGCATTTGAAATCGGCGCACGCGAGAGAATTGTTGGGCTATAACGCATCGCAAGGATCCAGTAAATCGCAGGACATCGGCCAAGAGATGGAGATGGAATACGAAATAGAAGAGACCCCGGATCCGAGCGCGGACTACCAAGCCCGCTACCCGTGTGACACGTGCGGGAAGCAGTTCGTGGGACTATTGGCGCTGCAGAATCACCAATGCATAAACCAACTGCAACAGCAACCGCAAACGTTCGACTGCGAGATTTGCCACAAGAGTTACACTTCGATAGCGGCGTTGAAGAGCCATCGCGGTTGGCATTTGCGCTCGCCCGATGGAAAAGCTGCAGCCAACAATAGCGGCCTGTGGATGCCTCAGAACAAAGTGACGAGTAAAGTGAGCAAGTACGAAGTCGTAGACGCCTCTCAACTGGCCAGAGTCACGCACGTCACTTCGTCCGCCTCATCGTCGGTTATCGCCAAACGTAGACTACCACCAGAGGTGGAAGTCACCGTCGTCAACCCCAACAAGAAACTACGTTCCGATGATTCGATAGAGATTGACCATTCAACCAACATGTCGACACCTGCAGACGACCGCTATTGCAATATATGCGACAGGGAATTCACCAAACGAGCCGCTTACCAACGGCACATGGACGAGGTCCATCAGCCCAACTCAGTGTTTTGCCCCGTCTGCGACAAAAGTTTCACGCGGAAGTCCACTCTAATCGTTCATATGAAGAAGCACTACGATTCTGGGGAGGGAGGCTCGGGGGTGAACCCCCAAGAAGATGGAAACGCGTGTGACGTGTGCGGCGAACAGTTCGACAGCGCGAACGCTTTGAACCTCCACCGGGAGACGCAACACGGGGATGACGAATCCGGCCCCGAGTCGGAGGAAGACGGCGCGGCTCCTTTGCCCCAACCCGGCGAGTTCACGTGCGGGCAGTGCGGAGACGGGGTCGCCACGCCTCGAGATCTAATAGCGCATCGGACGATGCATTCGACTCCGACGAAGTTCATTTGCAACATTTGCAAGGTTTACTTCGCGAGGGCGATCGACCTGTCGTCGCATACGCGAGCGAGGCATTCGGACAACGACAAAGTCTATTTCCCCTGCGCTATGTGCGAGCGCTTCTATATGAACAAAAAGAGTTTACAGCGCCACATCGAGATGGCCCATTGATCTTGAACTGTGGAGTGTGACGCTCCACTGGAATGAACTGGCACTGTACTGGGGTGATGCCCTCGTTACGAGGGTCGAGAATCCGATAAAAATTTCCCCTGTAAATATGTCCAGGTGTTTTATAAGCATTCCTCCTTTCGTTCGGTTTGCGTTTAATTAATTATTATTAATTCTGCTCACGTATTGTGTTATTTATTCTTTACTGAATTAATTAGGTTCTGCAACTGTATCGTTATTTTAATAATTTTAGAAGGAATTCTTAGTTGGGTATTCACTAAGTGTAGACTACGTCGATTCTATCGTTTAACTTTAAAGAACTAGTGATTATATTTCTGTATTTTAAATACTGAAATAACGGGCCAAAATTTGGATATAGTCATAAATAGTTGTTTTTTGTTGCCAGTGCTAATTTTTGATTGTGCAAAGTGTGGACATCTGACGTCGCATGTCTTAATTCTTCAATGTAAATACAAGTTCGATGATTACAAATTAGCAATTTAACGGAGTTATGATATGAAAGAATAATTTAGGTTTTCATTAAAATGTACTGATTATTTTAAAAGCGATTAATTGTATATTTTCTACTTTATAAAACCGCAAAACTTCATCTCATCTATGGAGACGTTTAAAATAACTACGAAGTTGTTTATCATCTGAATATTATGACTAGCTTTGACTGAACTATAACATTGTACTGTGCCTTCTAAAAAACTGACTTATCAAGAATGTTTCCTTGTGTTTATCGTGTATTTTCTCTTGTACTCTATGTATAGCTGTTTTTTTTGGTTCGTGTTGAATATATTATTTTTTATTTAGGTAATATAAAAGTATATGCCAAATTAAATGAAAATAAGCATTCTCCATAGGTGGGATTTATCGAGTTGTGGTTGCATAAATAAAGTGACTTAATAATATTTCGTGTTTTCATTGGACCTTAAGTCTTTCCTTTTTATTAATATACCTAGCGAAAAAAATGTACACTCTTTGAAGTAAATATATAAATAATTAATCCTTTGAGTATCATCTCGGACAGTAACATAATTCTGGTCTGTTGAGATATTTATAATAGTTGACGTAAGATGGTGTGCCAAAATTGTACATGCCCTTGTAAAATACAAATTGAACCAACAAGATGAACCCTTTAAAACCATTTTTTGTTGATTGATTAATAATAAAAAGTTAACAATAGATTTAAAAAAATTAAAAGATTATTGTTTGAGCAAAAATAGAATATGGTACATGAGCCTTAATAAATAGAAACACATCATAGATTGCACAAAACATTTTAATATAAACTTAAAAAGTCGTACAACAATATGAAAAATTATTATTGACTAATTATATTTGCGGTTATGAAGAACCGCCATCTATATTATGCAAATATTATTCTAGATTTAACACCTCGTCGAATATATCTTACAAAAGAAAAGTAAAATAAAAGTATCTTTAGTAATAAAAAATCTCATTATACTAAGTTGTATTATTAAACTTACATTATAAGATTTTATCTACAAAAAATACTGTAGCGTCTTGGACAGTTTTTCAATCGAGCCTCCGGTTAGATTACACAATAGAAATGTATTAATAAGTTACTTTAAAAGTATTAAAATTATACAACTAGTTATACTTAATCTAAATCAAAATATAAAAATGGTAAAAAAATAGTGCACATTTCCGTATACAACTTGTCATCGTTGTGCTTTGCATATCTACACGACCTTGCACGGCTTATGCATAACTGTAGTGTTAAGTTCTATTTCGAGCACAAAATTATAATTAAAACCTTCGAATTATGCCTTTATTAATCGTTTACGTTAAAACGCATTGTCTTTTAGCATTTTATATTATAAAAACGTAACGAAAGAACGCCAATATAAAAGGCGGATCCAAATTCAGTGTTGTTCTTGAATTTTGTCTAAACAAGAAAGTCTGAGTAGATTATACTAAAAAAACATAATGCGGAAAATCTACCACGTTCATTGAATAAATAGAAGATTCGCTAGTACAATATGACTCCGAAAAGCCCGTGAACCCGCCCCGGGCAATATGTTGAAATTACAACAGCTTTGATGCAAGTCATGCGGAAGAACTTCTTACGTATAACGTTGTCACGCGACCGTAGGCGAGCAGTTTCAACAAACGACAAGCTATCTACCTGCAATACCTAAGCACAGCCACCTACAACAATAAGCTCGATCGAAAAACTGCGCGGTGCCAAGTGAAATATAAAAAAGATAAATAACACATAGTATTTACTTTATGAATTTGCATGCACCAGTTACTTAATGAATTGAGAAATACTTTTATCATTTATTCACATTCACGTCTCTTATAACATCATATAGACTAAGACCGGCCCGGATTCGGCCGGCAATGTACACGAGGACTAATATCTTCTTAAAAAAATACTGTTAGATTGAAACGTAGCTAATCCTATAATATATTTATGTTAAATATAATTATTATAAGGGTACAATCGTACGCGTGATTAGTCTAGGTGAGATCTCCGACGCCTTCGGGCGGCCCGCCGCGCCGTCCGACCGCGTCCGACCGGATATGCAAATATTACATACAAAAGTCGAATACGCAACGGTACGCTATATATCTTAGAAAGTATGAATTTATTTTTTCAATATTAAAAATATGTAATTTCTCTATTGGCCTTTCGACGTGAAAAATTAGACGTTTCGCGTACTACGAATATCATATAAAGTATACATATTAAATATTATTAGTATTCTCTTAGATCGGAGGACGAATGTATACAGGCTCGCTCGTGAAGGTACGTCGTCATCGCACGCGGCCCTCGGCCCCTCGCTCTTACCACTACGAATAATATCGATATCGAACGAAGACATCTAAAAGTCGACTCGGCTTTAAATAGTAAGAAAATAAATCGCCGGCGAGTCGCGCGGCAGATAATTGCTCCTATCGATAAATTTACACATCGACGTAACGAACGAGAATACAAAAAGTTATGAAAAATCGTACGGATATCACAAGCGGCGGGCGGCGCGGGACGCCCCCGCGGAAAATAAAAAAATAATTCGCGGCGCGCGTCTCTCTCGTACAAAAGTAAAGGATCTATGAGCGGGTCGCGCGGAGCGTCTAGCGCGCGTGTGCGACTCAGTTGGCGAGGAGGAGGTGCGAGGGCGCGGGCGGGTAGGGGGGGCGCGGAGGGCGGGGCGTTCTCGCGCCGCGACACGAAGTAGGCCGCGGGATCCGTGGCCGGGGACAGCGCGCGCGCAGCTAGCTGCTGCTGCACGGCGCGCTGCTTGATGTAGTTGCTGAATTCGGTGGGGGACATGCGGTTTGCGCGTTTGCTGCTCGTCTTGAGCTTGGTGCTGCCGAATTTGGTTTGCGCGAAGGTGGCGGTGGTGAAGGTGAGCGGTTGCGCGCGGAAGGGCGGTGCGGGGGAGAAGGCTGCCGGTGCCGGTGGAGACGGAGCCGCTACGGGTTCCACGGGCCTGAAGCACTGAGCCTCTGGGTTGAAGGCGCGGGTGACCTGGAATCAAAACAAGAGGATTTAGACTCGTTAAGGAAATAACCCACTAAACTAAAACCCTATTTGGATCATAACCTATGGTCAAAGATTACAAGGCCAGGGGGCGGCTTACGGCCTCGTTGACCTATAAATCATTGCGTTTGCTTCTGATATATTGTTTGCTTTATTGCCCTACTTGAACCTACGCCAATTTTTACGTAACCGGTTGATTTATGATATCTCTATTCCATTAACTGATTCTATTTTATGGCGTATGACATTAAGTATATTTATGGGACTTGATTATTATAAAAAAACAATCAATTGAAATAACACATTAAGTAAAAAAGTCTTAAATGGAAATATATGAGGTAACTTTACAATATACCCAAATAGGGGTGGTAGTTAAAATAAACGACTCAATAATAAACACTCAATAATGATTTCAACAGTAAAAAAGAAATATTTGACAAATGTTGAAAATTGAAATGTAAGACAGTATACAGAGATAAAAGTACTTGACTATAAGTTTATTCAGCTATAAAGAAGGAAAATAGTTACCTCTCTATCAGTTCGTTCTTCCGCTGCACGTTCATCGCTGCTGAAAAGGACTTTCACTGCGCCCTTCTCTCCAATTCGGTACGAAACCTCACCTGAAACGGTTAAAAACATATAATTGAACGTATATTTGGAAAGTACGACAGTTCAAAATATTGTATAGGGATATAACTATGGTAACACTAAAATTAATTAGGTACTTGTTTGGACATTAAATAAGCCTTTTTAAGTCTATGGTGTGGCACTAATGCGTTAAGTACTGATGTTGTAGGTTCGAATCCCGGGAAAACGATAAATAATGGCGGCCAGCGCGGACCATAAACGTCAATCAAATTACTTGTAAATGCCCCACGTAAAGTCGCAAACAGGATTTTACGCTATTTACTCATCCTAAGTTATAATATCACCAGGAATAGATTAAAGTTATTTCTAAGTTGGTGTCTATTGTGTAAAGTGTAAACTTTCTTAATTTTTAAATTCTAAAGACTTGTGGCCATTTAGCAAAGAGTAAAAATTATAGAATTGATTTTCAATAACGACAGTTAAACAGCTTGAAAATCGAAGAAGCTTTACTTAATTTCATTATCTTTGTATTACGTATGAATTATTACCTAAAAAAATATATAGTACCTGGATCAACCCAAACAGCTAGATCCCGCGGCAGGTGTTCCAGCACATCTCGAACGGGGACCCCGGACTCCCTAGCCGCTCTCTCCAAAACAGGGTCTAAAGGACCCCCGGTCTTCAAGCACCTGAAAGCTGATCCCCTGCATGGTCTGTCCGGGTACCAGTGACCCCTGAACTTGTCTTTTAACGCCTTCTCCAATTCCTCACCGAAGATGTTCACCCGTCGTCTTGGTAACTTGTTATAGAGGTATGATATTACGAAGTTCAACGCAACTTGTACTTCAATATGCATTTTTTTGTTTCTGTAACAAAGAGAAGAAAATTTTACAACTACCCTCATATTTGATAATGACAGGCTGTTTTGATGCTTTAAGGAAATAAAGTTTAAACTTTACCCGTTTAAAACGCGATATATATTAATAACCTTATTAGAATTATTTTAATTAATACATATATGTAATTGATAAAAAGTTAAAATTATTTCATTTTAAAACAAAGGGTCAATACAAATGATATGTTAGAAGGATTTTAACTAAGCTATGCCAGTTCGGATCCCGGCTGTGTCATTGACGAATTTCACATATTTTCTAATGTGTATGTCAAATTGAAAAATAAACTTATCTTAAATGAAATAGGAAAATTATTGGAAATTTTAATGATTACGTTTTCTTTACGACAGACAAGCCTGGCGCTTCACTTGATGGCAAATGAAATACCTACCCACAAAACATCGACATTTTGGCTTTGGATATTTGGAAAAAATATCTATATAAAGATCCTTTCTATACTAAAAACTGTATTCAAAACATGTACGTATGTGTTTCTTGAATAAGAACTTAATCTCTATGATATATCGCGCGATAGGATTCGACATCTCAGATTAAAAGCAGCTAAGCGATATCTTAATCTTATCAAAAGAGAAGACAGAGTGTGACCGATTGAATTGTTTCAATTTCATCATTCTTAATATGAATATCACTTTTCGTTTTAGGAATATTGAAATTCCGTCCGGCTCACGAACCACGGTTCGACGTCCACAGATAAAAACCCCGTGAAGTTTAATCACGTTTCCGTTTCAGTCTGTGAATTTCCGAATATCCAAAGCCAAAATAGATCGACAGCACATCTTGTATACCTGTTCTCCGCTATCATTACATATTGTATATTCTATATAATCCATTCGCACATTGCTTATATCTTTTTCACATAAACGAACAGTTAATCTATACATACAGTCTATGTTTATGTAATCCAATTACAGCTTCTGTTGATTTTTAAAATGATTACCCTACATGATGTGCACAATCAATCCAATTTTCAATTTTCAAGCCAATTAATCGTGCCGAGTTCTTACACAACTCGTTCACGTCACACACAGTGGCTAAATTAATCAAAACTTTACTTTTGCAGTAATATTGCTTGGATTTGAAGAAATACATGGCACGGTACAGCGAAGGACGTTGATAAGAAAGTATGCAGCACAATAACTATTACAATGAGAAGTATATGTTTAAACTATTTCGTATAGTGATAGTTAAAATACCTCGAATAAAGCAGTCTTTAGTAAAAATGTTTTTGCGAGCAGTGCACATTTAAATACACTTTTAACGGTTTAAAACACGAAATATTTTATTAAACTTATTTAGAGTTAATTTTTCCGTCGGTCATTAGTTACGTTGTAGTTATTATTGAGAACAGCTTTATCCCTAGAGATAACTTTGTACTTCGACTGCCTAAGATGAATAGACAAAATGGAATATTATACAATTTTAACGGTTTGACGCCAGAAATATAGTAATCAACTAATTTTTAGTTTAATTTATCTACAGTCCGATGTATCGGATGCTTTACAACAGTCGTGGTCACGGGGAACAATACATTTTGCAAATAAAAAGTATCAGTTGTTTGTAAAAAAATCCAAGCCCGCTTGACAATATTAGAAGCTTGTAAGTACCAGCGGTGAGACGTGGCGGAAGAAAATGACAAAACAGAGATTAGGAAACAAAAAGACGAGTAAAAATTCTCCGCTCGTTTTATTCTAAAGAAGCACTGATAGGAATAGACAAAAAGCCGTCGAAGCACAGGCAATCTTTTTGAATGCTCAGATAACGCGATCCTGAAATAAATGAAAGGGCCCAGAACCCTTTGTGGGTCTACGTCGGCGAGATAAGTTTCAGAGCGTTGCTAAAGTTGAAACGATATCCCGCGAGGCTCGAGTTTCTATACAATTAGTGACGCTTGGTGAAGTTTCACATGAAACTGTAGTGATTCGAGATTAAGGAATCTTAATTTATACCTACCATCCACTATCCATTCTTATACCAGAATTTTTTGGTTTGCTTTTAAAATAATAATATTAGTAACATCATACTTATATAATAAAAGTGGATATAAAAGAATAATATTTGAGTTTGGGTGGTTCATAAACTGGATGAAACTGTTCCGCCCATGTCCAGATTGTCACCAAACATGCTGGCCCCGGTGGAAATCTAACTCACTACTCATTAGTTAAAACAAGCTTAAATGAACCCTGAACTTAGAGCTACAGTTTCATAAAATTTTTCAGAATCTTATCACAATATGTATCGAAAATCTTTACAAATTAACAGTAAGGTTGCAATATTATTATAATGAAGTATAGAAGTATACATAACTTTAAATATTTTTCCACTGACAATATCTCTTTAAGTAACATTTAAGGGATAGCCTTCTCCCCGTAAAGGGGTGTTGTGTTTAGTGGTTCTGGTCGGCTATAAGATTTACCACACGTCACACTTGCCCAACGTGGGCGTGCATTAGGCATTCACACCATCAGTAAAAAAAAGGGATAACCTTCTCTACGTTTCTTCTTGATATGTGTATCTCTCGCGCAATGTAATTTAAACTTTAACACGAACTTTTACAGGATCAAGAAATCATTAAAGATGAAATTACAGAATTTACCGCTTAAAAACTTTGTTATTGTGATTAAATACTTTCTTTATTGATTTTTAAATAAACATAGTCTTTACTTTCACTAGATAAATAATACACTCTACATTTGTCTCGCATTAAAAATACATCTAACCTTGCTTCGTATGGCTTCACACAAACATCTATATAAAGCCGTTTGTGACTTAACACGTAGAAGAATAGAGATGAAACATCTTTACTTAAGTAGAATGTTTAATAATTTTCAACTCCCCATCCGTCCATGTTCACTTTTATCTTCCTAGTGTAACGACCCATTAGGTACACATAATAAAAACACTTTCAAACGTGAATTGATATATATAATCGTGACCGTGGCTACGTTGGGTCATAGTTATACGTAAATCAACTACGTATTGAACAGTTTTTTTAATTTCCTATCTCACATCTAGAAATATACGTTATTAGCGAAATGTGACGTCACTGAGTCCCCCTTCTTGTCACTTTTAATTGATTGTCCCTCTGAGTAAAACAAATTCCCCAAGAACGATAACAGATCTTAGTCCCTTGCGCTTTCCCATAGTGATCCAGGGTCTTAAAAACCACATCTCATTAAGTGGTATTGAGGGAAAGTAGGTTAATACCTATAAAGCCTTATTGAATAAAAACTACTTCCATTAAGACTTAGTTGATTCATCACGTATTACTCTCGTTAGGAGCTTCATAATTAAGTTCATATCAAGAAGGTACAGTGAGAGCCTAATTGATTTTATATGAACAATTATATCTTCTATACCAATGGCTCAATGGCATAATACGATACGTATTAATGTGTTAAGCGGTTAAGGCCTTGGGTTCAAATCCTGGGGACTAACAATTCCGGTCCTATAGAACAGTGTGGTCATGACGGTTCTTGTTAAATTAAATCGACTAGTCAAACGAAGGACGATAAATAGAATAAGTTTGTCCCGAGTCTAACTGTGTCTGACTTATACACAAATAGATAAATTTAGATTAAAATACTATGTGACACAGGCGGGACATGAACCGGCATATCTGTATCTGTATCTGTGCTGTAACCAATCGAGCAACAGTATCTCAATTCGAAGAATTTATAATTTATATAATGCCAAACTTCTCAAAGGTATACATTATTATTATATTTATAGGATAGAAGTTAAAATTAATGTTCGTTTCGCCCTTGCATGTGTTAAAAGCATCTGATAATGCCATTAATATCGATTTACAATGAAACCGAAGTTCTAGGGGCGTGCGGCCTCTAAGTTCGGCTGTCCTATTTATATCCGTAACCCAGTATCGATCCAACGCCCCACTGCCCGACAACCCCTGACTCTGTGCATTCGATAAGATCACTTGTAACAATGGGTGTAAAGGTCAAAATTCCTGGCGCGAAGATCCGCCACCGACGTTGGCAAAAATCCGCGAGACAAATTCGACTTCTGGTAGTGATTAAGGATCTTTTAAAGGCTCTAGTTGTTTTGTATGTTATTCTTTAATTTAAAAAGCCTTGACGCACGTTTATACATACAGCTGCACTTTAACGGTTTAAAACGCGAAATATATATGCGCAATTTAATGAGGACCCCAAAATCGTGACCATGGCTACTGTAAAGCATTCGAAACGAGTATGTTCTGGGTTTCTAATCGATAAATGTTATTTACTAAATGACTTTAGTTTGATTAGATCTACAAGATTAAAAAACAATAAAAAGGACACAAAAAAAAAACGGATTCGAACTCAGTACCCACAGCGTTACTATCCAATAAAGTTATAATATTTAATATTAAAATAATGCTACTAAATTGTAAATAAGTAAGTAAATAACTAATAACAGTTTGCGTTTAATACTTAGAGCATTCGTTTTATACTAGTATAAAATATGTCTAACGTCTTGAAAATGCATGGTTGCCTTATCGAAGAATCTAGAAGCAGAAGAATGGCGGTGTTCGGCTCGTAAAGTAAGTCAGAACAAAATGAACGTTAAGTCCAAGTAACGCGAAGAACATTAAATACAGGGAAAGCTTATCTATTTTGCTAAATTTTCCTCGCTTTTGCCTTAAAGAAAATTCAGTGTGGTTAATGGTCGAATCCCCACGGGGTCACCCTCATTTCTCGGGGAGGTTACAAATTTCACTTGTATATATGTATAAAAACGTACTTATTTTAAACGTAATATATACGTTTTGAAAAGCGACCATTTTAGAATATTGGACTCAATACGAATGTGTTGTTCTATAGGCTTTTAGAAAAATCTTTATATAGGGCGACAGCGCATTTTAATTAGAAATCAATAGGCTGGCATATTTAACCTCTCATCAAGCGATGTCGGTCTAGTTACAAAATAACCTATTCAGCTTCAGTTATTTGTGA